GGAAACTAGAGAGAGATTAAAATTTACCATCAGACCTAGAAATGTACTGTAATAAGATACAGAAAGCAGAATTAGAGAAAGAGATTAAGACCTAGAAATGCTTTGTAAGCTAGAGAGAAAAAGAGAGATTGCATACCACGAAATATGGAAGAGAGATAAAGCTTCGAATGACGAGCCACTGTGCCCCATAGCCAGCAAGCCCCATGATGGCAGCGATGAGAAGAACAGTGGGCACAGGCAAATGCAGAAGAGCAAAACCAGAGGACCACGCAAGAGCCTTTCCAAGATCAGAGGCCACTGCTAAGTAATTCAACTGAACCTGAGAGATCCCCAGCACCGATTTCAAAGAAGAAGAGTAAGCAGAGAAGTCGAAGTTGGTTCCAGTAAATGCCTGAATCCAAATGGTTGCCACCAAAATGGTCCATTTTCGAGATTGGCCAGCCATGGTGAAGGGTTCGCCGGAAAACAAAGAAACACGGGGAGTTTCTGGTTTTTCCGGAGTCGTTAAGTTTGCCGTCCAACGCTACCAGACCGGACTTTCCATTTATACGCCGGAAAATTCCCCCTCCCCGCTGGGTTCTCTTAGGCTTCACTTTCCAATGAATCTGACTAGAAATTTTTTGTCTCTGAAATTGGGTCCCTCGATTTGCTAAAGCTTTTGGGTTTCTCTCTCTTCTTCGAAATCCAATCCCTCTCTCTGCTCCATGCTTCGTCTCTTTCTCCCGCTCTCTCTCTCAGTTGCCGGGAACTTTCAGGCCCCAGAAAATCTTGGTTTCTCTCTTTAGGGTTTGGGGAGAAAAAGCTTTGGCTTCCAGCAGATTTGGTATTTTCCGGCGAAATTTCGGTGAGCTGCTGTGATGCAGTCGCCGGAAAATTTTGAGGTATTGGAGTTGGGGGTGCGTACTTTGCAGGATTCTTATCCCCACGGTTTTGAACGTGAAGTACCCTATTCACTGCACTCTAAAGTATCGCCGAAATTGTTATTTTGAATAGTTTTGCCGAAATTGTTATTTTCAATAGTTTATCCGAAATTTCGGGTTTCGCGAAAATAATTGGGTCGTCCTAGCTTTGTGGAGCTGTTCTTTTCGGCGCCGAAAAATTTCCGTTTAAGAATTAAAGTGTCCTCATTTCGAAATGAAAAAAAGTTTATATAAGGTTGTTGACACCTCATGAATTCACACCTCGTAAGGCGTACCTCATGAGTTCACACCGCGTAAAGTCACCAGACGAAGTTGTCATTCATGCTAAAAAACCATCAAATGGATCATCTCGACTTTGAGATGCATTCACGTAAAAAAAAAAAGGACTTTAAGTTTTAGAAATGGTGTATATTGCAATGCATTTTATTTATCCAGTCGGTTTTTAAGATTTATGAGTGTTTATAAATTTATTTGATCTACACTACTTTTAAAGCTTTAAATTTTGAGTGTGGTTTTTATAAATTGTAACTTTAAACAATCCAATTAAGCCGTACCTCTAAATTTTATCATAATATGTAATTTTGGAGTAAAAAATTGTTAGGATTATCTGAAAATCTAATTTTATCTCTAATAATAAAATTTTAAGCTCTAAAAATGGTTAAAATCAAGTAGATCTATAACCATGTGAAAATCTTGAAAATGGACGGTCTAGATAATTTATTGTAAAATATACTATTTATGAGACTCAAAATCTTTTTCTTTTTTTTCATATTCATACATCTTGATGTCGAGATGATCAATTAGAAGGTTTGTCAATATTAAAACAACCTTTTTCGATAGATTTTTTATGTGCATCTTTAATTCTACATTTTAAAGTTACAACCTTATATAAACTTTTTTCCTTAAATTTTATACTTAGAGATGAAAACAAACTTTTAGGTCATCATGAAGATTTTCGAAACTGAAATGACATCTTCCTACAATATTTAAAGGTGCGCCTTATTTTGATTATTTAAAACCGCACCTTTTGGAAATTCGCCTTTACTGGGTGTCGTTTTATTAGGCCCACAGTTAAATGAAATTTGGTAAAGTCGCTTAGAAAATTACACATTATCCCGAAAAACGCATGGCTTGAAACCCTTAAAAATAATCTGGAAATTTATTTCCACATTTGCAAGATTTAGTGATTTTGGAGTTTGAAATTTATTATTTTATTCTTTTCAGTATCCTGAAAAAATAATGCAAACGTTATGGATGATGGCTTGAGATAGACGGTCCAAAAAATATATTACAAGATGTATTAACTTTTTTTAGGATTTGAAAAATCATTTTTTCATATACATGTTTACTGAAGTAGAGATAATTGACTTGCAAGTTATAAACCCACTGAACTTTATTTTCTAATAAGATTTAAGTTGTAATTTTTTAAAGTTACAATCTTACTATATACTTAACTATTGGTCTAGATTTCCATTCCCAATAACACATTTGAAAAAAACTAACTATTTCTAAAAACAAATAGGGGCCAGTTATCCCACTGATCCACCTAAAAAAAAACGTACATACTCTCCATTCTTACCTTGCCCCAAACGTACATACTCTCCATTCTTACCTTGCCCCAAAATATGTAGCTAGATGGATTTTTTAGCTGCAGTTTTATGCAACATATTTGATTAGCAAAAAGTAAACTTGAATAAACTCATTATGAATTTTTTAAGCCCTAGATCCAACATCCATTAAATAAATGACATGAAAATGATGAAGTATCTTTGCTTGAATGCGTGTCGTTTAAATAGGTATTTCATCACCAGGACGAGTTCGACATATGTTTCATTAATGTGTCACTACCGATTGACAGCATACAAATGTTTTTTCATGTCTTGAATAAATCAACTTGCACAAATCCGTTAATAAAAAAATCATGCGAGCAGGCAATCTTGAATTATTTGGATGAATGTCCAAATTGTTGGTACTTGTGGATGGTCATGGCCTTCACATGTGCTATATTTCTGTCTCTTTATTTTAATAATATATTTTTATATTTATCACTAAAAAGACATTTTAGAGAGAAGATGTTTTGTATCCAAGTCAAACGTTGGAGAACGGCTTCATACCCTCCCTCTATAACTAGGGTTTCATTGTTATGGAGAGGCATATAGAGAAAGCTTGAGTTTTCAGTTGTTTTTGGTAAAACCCTGATCTCTGTGATTCACAGTCTTACGACATTGCTTTCGATTTTTGGGATTTTTGCGGTTCATCTCTTCCCCTAAAAAATTCAATACAAATGACTTTGTCCTTATCAAACATTCGTCCGGAACTTCGGAATTCGGTCGAGTGAGTGATGTTCTCTGGATGCCTGAGTAAGAATCATCCATTTCTTTGTTCAGCATCCATATCAATGTTAGAAAGTGCGACTTGGACTGAGTAATTGGTCTTGGCTTGAGTTAATTACTCGGATTGAGTCCGAGTAACTCAGGCCGATTAGTGTTGAGTATTGTAGCAAAAAAAAAAAATCAACATATTATAAAAACATAAAAAAAAAAAAGTTCAAAAAAAGAGGAAATGTAAGATCAAGCGAAACAGTTCAAAATGATGTTAAAAAAAGTAGTAAAAACATAGATTTTAAAAGACCTACTTGTGATTGGGTTGTTATCAAAATAATTCAAAAAAAAAAGGGGGAAATGTAAAAATTAAGTATTTATGACTAAAATGAAAGTTGGACTAATGAAATCTAGCCAGTGTATATATTATTTTTTCCTTTTTTTTTGTATTTTTCTTTTTATTTTCCAACTTTGATTACTCACAAGTAGTCCATTACAATATATTGACTTGAAAATAGAAAAAAAAAACAAATCTAGGATCTAAAACTTGATGCTACTAAAAATTTTCTTTTAATAATAAAAAAAAACCACAACAATATGCTTAGGAATAATAAAAGACGTAAGAAGTAAATATAACAAGAAACAAGAAAGTGAGTGTCGAAGATTACATCAACCAGCCTTATTATACCCCACACCGACTCACCACCTTTTAATGACACAGGATCAATGATCAATCTTCAATCTCAAATATGAGAAAGCAATTAGATCAAATCCTCTAATGGAACAAGAATTCCCTTAAAAACTTAGACCTCAAACTAAGGCTTTAACCCATTGATAACCTAGTTGAGAGAGATAATATCTCATTACTAAAACTCTTAACCTTTTAGGCCACATGAAAGAGGGGAGATGAGAGATAAACAAAATAGGTGGGGGGCATGCCCCTTATGGATCATGAAAGAGACTCAAGAGATGGGGGCATTATTCATGAAACTAGAGAGAGAGAGAGAGAGAGAGAAACTCTTGCTAGGGGTAATGCCCCTTTTTTTTTTCTATACGAGCGAGAGAGAAGAGATGTGATGTAAGTGTAGAGATATAGGAGAGGGCACCTCTTTTTTATAGTGCTTCAAGGGGTTCAGAGTTTTTTAGGGTTTTCCATGACTTGCCTCCCCTTGTGAGATAGAATATATACCATTGATCTCGGGTGACTTGTGGGGTGAAAGATATGAGTCATCTATTTTATAGATAGACCATCAATATCACATATAAAGTGCTAGAACCTTTTATCCCCCATTTCTTAAATCATTTTCCTATCAATTAATTTAAATAAAAAATATCTACAATAATATTATGCTTTCTTATTTTTATGCACCAACATTATGTCACTTTTCTTATTCAATTTCAAAGTTTCTTTCAAGCATAGTTTCTAAAACACAAGTTTTCTCACCCTCAAGCCATGAGCTTGATATACCAAATGAAAGGTTCCATAAGGTGGGGCGTGCCACCCTAGGTTGAGCCCCACCAAATAGCCATGTTGGGCCTATATACATATTTGGGCCTCCTATGTAATATTAAATTATTTTAAAGTTATAATTTTTAGAAATTCATAAATCATATTTGAATAATTAAATCAAAGAAAAATTACTAAAAAAAGCCCCAAAATGAGCTTTTTAGACCTTCTACCCTACCCTAATCTTTCTTTACTCTTTGTTTAAAAAAACCAACTTTCCTTACTAAAACCCCCCAACAGAAAAAGGTTTATTTTTTTTAACCAAAAATACCCCTTTCCGTACCTTGAACGTCCGATCAAATCTTGCAGACAGATCCCAATTTCCATTAACACCGGACCGTGGCTATTATTTGCCGAAGTGCTTATGAGAAAACAATATGCCGGATCGAATAACTAAAACGCCGGACTGAAGTGCCTGTATATCTAGGAAACATATCGCCGGAGTGCTTCTTAGTTTTGCCGATGCACGTTTTTTAGATTCCGGACAGGCTATTAACAGTGAATCAATCTCTGAAGTAAATTCAAGAAAAGTCGGAGTGCCTTTTAGTTTTTTCGGAGTGCTTTTTACAGATGCCAGACTGCTTTTTTATAGTGAAGTAATCTCCGGAGTGCTTTCAGCAAATGCCGGAGTGCTTTCTAATGTTGTCGGAGCGCATTTTACATATGCCGGAGTGCTTATTTAACAGTGAACATTCTCCGGAGTGCATTTAGAAAATGCCGGAGTGCTTCTTAGTTTTACCGGTGCGTGTTTTTTATATTCCGGACTGTCTATTAACAGTGAATCAATCTCCGGAGAGGATTCAAGAAACGCCGGAGTGATTTTTAATTTTGCCAGAGTGCTTTTTACAGGTGCCGAAGTGATTTTTTATGGTGAACTAATCTCCTGAGTGCTTTCAGAAAATGCCGGAGTGAGTTTTAGTTTTGCCAGAGCGTGTTTCATAAATGCCGAATTGTGATCTCCGAAGTGCGTTCAAAAAATGCCGAATCCCCCAAAAATGCTCCAAGTTCTTAGTTTGTTCCTTCATTCTTTGTTTGCTATAAATACTGGTTTTCTTTCACCAAACAACCTTCTTTCTCTATCTAGAAAACACATGTGCTGTGTAAAATCTCTCTCTCTCTCTCTCTCTCTCTCTCTCTCTCTCTAGAATACCTCTATTGTGTGAAATCTCTATCTTTCTCTCTCTATAGAGTACGTCTATTGTGCGAAATCTCCCTCTCT